ATCTTCCAGGTGGCACTAACATGCCATTCGTTTTAAAATTATTTGCTTAAATTGACACCTTGACTAGATAGAAGGTTTTTGTCACTGGAAAAGTTGTTTTGAATGACAAAACCTATCGTATCTCATTCGGAAAAATCACTAACCACTAGTACCATTTGATACTAATGACTTGCTTAAGGCTACATCTTGACTAGATAGAAGGTTGCTGTCAACACGACCAATTGTATAGTTGACAGCTCAGTTCTGAATTCTCAAACCTGGCGGCGCGGGTATACGATTTGAATTATAATTACTTGCTTTAAGGTGTTTCCTTGTGGAGTCCATTTTTCCATCACACCTCACAATTTCATGAGCACACAACTCAAGATCTACGAGGTTTATGCATCTGTAAATTTCAGACAATGCTTGCTTCTACGCAGCAAACAACAAGTAGTAGTTTCAGCTACGTGCATTCACAGAAAGCTTAATATTTTCACATGTGAAATTGCTAAGTGTAACACGAAAAAGGACGCTACAGGGAATCACCTTAACTTGAAAGGTCAACTAGATAGATGGTTGCTGTTTTTGACAAAGTTGATCAGATTTATAAGACCTATTGTATGGTGGGAAGTTTAGATGAAAATTTCTTCATCAGGCGGCACTAGTGTTCGAAGTGAGTTGCTGCCTTTAACCGAGTTGTTCAGATGCATAAGACCTATTGGATGGTGCACAGTTTAGTTCAGAAATATGTCATCAGGGAAGTAAGCGCGCTTTTTTTTTTTTTGTAATTACTTTATTTGTACAGGCTCAATCGAATAAACTTTACAGAGCCGAGTTATCCTTTGCGTTATAAAGCGCGCTTTTGAAATAATTAATTTTCAAATCGAAATTTTGATAAGTTCATCATATTCTTCATAACGATTATTTCCCAACTGGAGCTTTGCGTTTGTCTTCAACTTTAATTTCGTCTGCTGTTTTGGGACTACCGTCTTTACTTGTGAAATGGAGATTACATTAATTGCAATTAATTTATCAAAATTCGATTTCAACTTTCATGGCATACATCAGCGAAAGAAAGCTGGACAAAAACTTATCAAAATGATACCATAATGTTTCCAATTTAAATACAGCCCGAGGATAGATCAGTTCAAACACTCAAAAATATGTTAATATGAATCAATTATTTCAATTTATTGAAGCGTTCGCTATTTGATACATTTTTGTTTGAACACAGATAAAGGACATGACAACTCAATTGAGATTCAGTTTATCTGTAATAATGCTATAACATCAAAACGTAATAATATGGTGTGACGTACATTGAAGTATTTAAAACCGGTTTATTATATGAAATACATTTTAATTAGCGAAATTGTGTCTCCGGCTACTGTAAATAAACATTATTCAGTAAGTAGGGTTTTTGATCTAATTTCCGTCCTACTAAGCACAAGCCGCGCTTTACCTCTCTTTTATGAACGAGTTAAAACAAAAAAATGGAATATTTCTGTCAAAGATGACTTCTAAATTTATTCACCTTTTCATACGTACCGTTGGATTTGATAAAGAGTCACAAATTGTTGAGATATTGTTGAAAATCTAATACTGCTTCTTGATTCTAAATTCAATCTACGAGTTTCAATTCCGTCCTAACGCATTAAACGCCATTAGATTTTCTTCGTCCTACGGATAAACGTAGAAAAAGGGGATTCGCTGGAGAGCTTCTTTTGTTTTGAGAACAATGAGCGTAAATATTCATACAATGTGCTCTAACAGGATTTATGTCGTAGCTAATGAACTAACGCATCGGAACAAACCTATTATTGATTTGTGCACGGTGAAATCATTGATATTATTGATCTTTTCTGATAGATAGAACGGAAATGGGCGATTACGACGAAGTAGCGCTCTACCCTACCTCAAAATTTGTTGCACACAGTGATGGCATAATCTTTAGCAAGTTGATATTTTCTGCCCTCACACGCTCTCAATATTGCCGTTTCAGTGAAAATAGTTCGACGCATCTGACAGCCACAGCATGCTATTAAAGCTGATAATCTGACGCCAAATGCTAATTTTTCTGTGAATGGGCAATATCACGCGTAATATTGGAGCAAAATACCATGCTTGATATTGATTTTACACGCTCCTTTAAAATTGCGAGACTATTCACAACGTGTAAAGTTGAAGCTGAGAGTTGAATCGATGCAAATATGATTCCATTGCACCTCGTTTTCGTAGAAATAGAAGGTATAAAGGTATTTTCAGATCTGACCGTGTATTAGCGGAGCGCAGCAAATTTTGCATTGGAATGAGAGAGACAACTATTACTATTACCTTCGCAAAATTTTGTCCCGCGCGTGAAATATCGCTCAGGACGAATTCACCTTAATAATGCTCTTTTATCTCGTCACCAATGGCAGACACGAAGTGTCCACCAACCGCTGGGCTTAGACTATGCAAGTCAAATGATCAACTCATAGCGAATTCGTTTATTATCGGGGTTGGAACCAGTTCCAACCCAGTGCGAAACCGAACTTTTTGTCAGTGCGAACCTCAACCTGAGCTGGGTTTAAAAAAAAAACGATCAAACTGACGTTTGTCAGAAAACAAGCAGACCAAATCTTGATACCCGATCCAGGTTGGAACTGAATAATAAACGAATTCGCTATCAGTTGAATTCAATTGGCTTGAAAAGTTGAACCTAGTTCAACTTTTTCAAATTCAAGTGAGTTGATCAAGTTAGTTGAATGGCATGGTTTACACGTTCAATTCGCGTTCAAGTCAGTTGAATTCAACTGACTTGATCAATTGACTTGCCCTGTCTAAACAAAGCTTTATGAAAGTTTCGGTTGTGTTCGGGTGTAAAGCAAAAATCATGAAACTCAGTGCGAACCTCAACCTGAGAAAGGTTTTAAACACAAACGATCAAACTGACCTTTGTCAGAAATCAAACAGAGCCGATCTTGATACCCGATCCAGGTTGGAACTGAATAATAAACTAATTCGCTATGAATCTCACCACAGTTTGGTGAGATTTGCAGCTGGTGAGTTTTGTTAGCTTAATATTCCGAGCTGCGATGTCACTGCTTGCAATATCAACCGCAGGTGTTTGCTTGCTGATTTATCTCTACGAAAGTCAAGCGTGATCTTGCTCTTTGGTGAGATTTTAACTTTTTTTTATGCGGAGCGGGGGGAGCGGAAAAACCGCACAAAAGCAAATAACCGAGAATCGAAATGCAGCTCTCCAGCTTATCAGCTAAGCTCTGGATCCGAATCATCGACTCGAATGATTCACTGGGAGCTGTTTAGGATGACAACTCTCGACCCGTCCAGCTCTTCGGATCTTTTTTTCTCTCGATTCTTCACGATTCAGCTCCGGATCCGGTTTTGAGCTGATGATCTGGAGCTGAAGCCGAGAATAGTGAGAGAAATTCTGCTGGAGAATTAACATCAGAAATAAAATCTGTATGTATGTTTACATCGATGCTTAATCAGTTGTTGCGTTAGTGGCGTTTTCCATTGAAAAGTAGAGCCATTTTCCATTGTTGTATGGTTGGATTTATTGGTTTAGACTACTTTTACGATTTTATGCAGTTTTAAGCACTAAAACCACTAATTAATTTTCCGGTTTTGAATTTGTGTCATAATTTCTATAATTTCAATGTGAGCTGAAGAGCTGTTCAAAAGAATCGACTCCCTTTAGTGAGCTGGAAAGGTTTGATCCACTCAGCCAGATGAGCTGCGAGATGAGATGAGAAAAAATGGAGCTGCGAGATAATTTGTTGAATTGGGTTAATTTATGCCATCTATTGGTAAGAATATAGGCTTTTCCATAACTCAAAGCAGTAAATGTCACTTGCACGAACAGACATAGTTATTATGTTGCAGTGCATTACGGTACATGTTTTGTCTCTGTACCGATATTGTTAGCAATTATATTTTTTTACTAAAAATTAAAGTTTTTACTTGGTAGTCTGGCAAACACTCATCAGAAGAAATTAATTTATTATATTTTGTCCCTACGTTTCGGCTCTGATTAGAGTCTTCTTCAGAGGGAAAATTGTTGGATATTTCCTTTGTCTCGATACTGTTTAAAGTCTTACGTCTGTTTTTGGTAAGTTTTTGTACATAGCGGTTTTCAATTGGATTGTTCAAAGTTTTGTTGGATGTTTTGTAATTTGTTAATATTTGCGGTTGTGCACTGCTCGAGGGTTATGATGGTTTTTTTACAATCGCTTAAGTCGCGCTCTCAAAAGAGCTCTGTCAGTTTGTGCTACAGTGACTGAGTATTAGACTGATTCAAAATTTGAAATTTCCGCTCCACAGTGCTCAAACGGTTTAAAATTGGGTCCTGATTAGCCTCCCAAAATTTGAACTCATTTAGTGAGAAACTGACTTGGGACAAACCAGACGAAGTTTATATCGGAATTACTATAAAGAAACCATAATTTCGGTTCATATCTATCTCAAAATTCACCAGTTCACTCTACTTTGGACAATGATAGCTAAGTTTGTTGAAAATTTTTGCAGCTACAACTTTGTTGAAAACCACTTTTCGATCAAATTTAAGGAACAAAAATATTAATGATTCAAGTCACTGATGTCTTACGATTATGCTCAACCAACTGTTCAACAGGCAACATTGGTGTTTATGGCGCGTATAATAGAGGACAAAAATCATGCACGCAGAGAAAATTGACCTTATTGAACCAAAAAAAAAAATATTATTGAAATATTTTGCAATGTCAAATATAACTTTTTTCAAATTCAATATTTATATTTTGTAGCTTCAAAAAATTTTTTTTTGTTGTTTTCATTGCAAATTCTTAAAACAAATATATTGTAGATTCAATAAAATATATTTTTGTCTTCAGATATTATTTTAACTACTTTTAAAAAATATATTGTTAATTTAAAAGCAACACTTTTCCAAAACATACACAGGCTCGTTTTGTCAGTGTATGTGTGTGTTTTCAATGCTTGCGCATGCTCGGCTTCCCTGTCGCCATTTCTAGGCTTTATTTAAAACGCAAAATGGACTCGTCGGAAGAAGTTCTTTTTGAGGAAGTGGAAGAAGTAAATGACGCGCTAGTCGATTTATTGCTGAGTTTTGAACTCTCGGAACAAGTTGTCAATTGCTTTCTTGGTAAGGAATTCAGTATTTGCATTTTAATACGTGTTTTAACGATTTTTTCTCAATTCCAGCAAATCAATACACCGTGGAAACGTTGAAAATTGTCGAACGCAAGGAAATCGAAGAATTAATACCACCGCCATTTCTTGCTGAACGGACGAAGTGCATATATGGATTGAACGCTTGGAGATACGGACAGGTAAGATTGTACGAAAAAATATGTTTTATGACAACAATTCAGACTTTCAATTATTACCAAAGGGATTACCGTCGCTATCGTCAAACCAATCATCGGACAGCACCGCGGCTTCATCGCAGCTGGTAAAAAGAGTTTTTACAGCAGAAAATCTTACTCGAGAACGTTGCAACGCAAATTACTTGCTTAACGCGTCATCAAAAGGTCGAGCCATCCTTCAAAAATACCAAACATTTTTATCAAGAGCTGATAAGAGGACCATCACTCACATCGTTGTTGATGAGTTCAAGGATCGATTTGGAAAATTAACCCCATCTGAGCTACGGGACAGAGCATCCGAGCTAGGAAAGCAATTTCCAGGAGAGCCAGAGGTAATTTACTTTTCTTCGATGATTGTAAAGCTTCCAAACGGACATAAATCGATTTTTAAAATACCCCCCGAAATAAGTGTCAATTATAGTTGGAAAGGCTAATTAAATGAAGACTAAATTAATATTCTTAACTAGGACGGATGGTACCAGCCTACATTCATCAAAAACGGTGCGGGTCGAAAAATCAAACTTCGAAAACAGGCTAAAGGACGACTATACGACAGGAATATTAACTACAGAGAACCAATTGAAGATAATCAGGATGACTTGCAGCAACCGTCAACATCCGGTGTGAAGCCTTTTGAAGCGGAGAAGATAGTTTCGGAACAGCAAGGTAGACTGATAATATTATTGCCAATAAAAATAATTAGCTAACGTTACATTACTTGACAGCTTCAGAATATCAACAAACCAAAGCCTGGTTCGTACACAACCAAGACGAGTGGGAAGAAGTGAAGCAAAAGTGGAAAGCAACCAGCAGGCTAAGATCGTTGGAACTTTCAAAAAAATCCAGTTGGACCAGTTCCTCGATCTTGGCTGAGTATCCAACATTGAGGAATCATCAAGGGTATCAATTAGTCCAGATTGATTTTTTGCATAAGTTCCCAGCAAAGGAGACGCTTCTGTTCGATCGTTGGTCAGCATTTGTGGAAGGTATTCGTTCGATATTGGATATTGAGGTAACAGATGTTGATGGAAAATATCTTCTGTCTTTGCTTGATAGTGAGGATTTATCATCAGGTATGAAGGCAAAATGACTTAATCATGACTTAATTTTTAATAACGTGTTTGTACACAGATACTCGCAATTTCGTCATCGTATCATTGTTGTCACATATTCTGCCAAGTCCTCATCTAACTTGTTCTGGAAAACGACGGTGGAAACCATCAATCCTCGAAACACGTCAAAGTGTGGTGATTCATATCAACGATCTGTCGGAATTGAACGAAACAGTTGGTGGACTATTCGATAGAAGTCGCGAGAGAGGGATCGAGACAACTCCTTTTATACTGGTTCACGGAGATTTCAAGAACCCTGTTGGCTTTCTTGTGTGGAACAATGTTGTTTCCTATAAGCTACCCAATTTTCTGAAGGCTCTTGACATTTGCATGAAAATATTCAAAGCATACAATATTGATCACCCGCGACACTCATCAGCAGTATGGGACTTGCTTTCTACATTCCTGTTTGACTTTGATCCTGTTAGCGACAAGGCTACTATTTCTACACTGTGTGCAGCTATACGAAAGAATCGGTCATCACAATGATGTTGTGCATAGTAAAACGATGCTCGTGGACAACTAATTCTATCGACCGATTGTATGACCATTTAAAAAGGCATCACCAACAAATCAACATATACACATGTAATTATGAGAGCTGTACTCGTAGTTACAATGTTCGAGCATCATTTTTCAGACATTTAAAACAACACTTGGGCAATAAAAACGATCACAGAAACATAAATGTGGGTGAAATTCATGAAGACAGGAACGAATGCTGTACAACTAAATCCGAACGCAACGAAGCACAACCATCGCAACCAAACAGTCGTCGCAACAGCAACGACGTTTCAGAATTTGATATCGAAACACCTACCCTTGATGTTCATGATGATTCTAGTATCATTGATATTAAGGCTATCGAGATTCAAATGCGCAATCTGAGTATCGGTTTTAACCTCAAATGGTTGGACATCAATGTGTTACCGAGAAAAACAGTATTTGAAATTCAACATGACGTACAACAAAAAATACTCAAGCCATTCGAAGAAGTTGTCAACACGATACAAATCGCCGGCCTACTATCTGTGGAAGGCCAAAGTATATTTAGAAAAATGTTTGAAATGTGTGACGGAACGGACACGGAATACAAATTCATAGAAAGTTTAAAATCAGCCCATATGCAGTCCCAAGAGAGTTTGTGATAAGTAATGAGTTACGTCCTGGAATCGTTAACAACGAGCAAGGAATGAATAGCGATCCTATTACTGGTAAATGTAAACAATATAACAAATAATTTAAATATATTGCTAACTCAATGTATTTACATTTTAGGAATCCTTATGCCACTAAAGTTTCAACTTAGAAAGTATTTAGAATCACCGCTCGTTTTCGAGACAATTCTTGAAAATCTCACACCGTCACAAGATGGTTATATTCGCAGTCTTATTGATGGTACCATATGGCAGCAGAGGAGAGCCAACATTTATTCTAAAATCGTCATACCGTTTAACTTGTTCTTCGATGATTTCACCACTACGGACACAGTTTCTCCACATGCGTCTCGTACGTCTATATTAGGTATATATTACTACATTCCTTGTCTGCCAGGTTTTATTCTGGCCAAATTAGCTAACATCTTAGTGGCAGGATTTATTTTATCGGTAGACAGAAAAGAATACGAAAATGAAGATTTATTCAGTAACCTAGTAGAACTGTTAATCGATTTAGAAGTGAATGGCCTAAAAATAACTCACAATAGCGCAAGTATCACTGTTCATTTCATGATAGGATTTATAACGGGCGATAATCTAGGTATCTTAGGAATTCTGGATTTGGTTGAATCGGCTAGAGCAAATTTTTATTGCAGAATGTGCAAACGTAACCGTGAACAACGTGAAAAGGATAGTACAGAATACGAACAAAGTTTCAGGACGATTGACGGTTACGAACGTGATTTGCAACAAAATGATGTTTCAAACACTGGTATTCATAAGAACAGTGTTTTTAATCAGATTCCATCATACCACGTTGTTTTAAATGTTTATTTTGACTTAATGCACGACCTATGGGAAGGCGTTTGCGTATACTGCTGGCTCATTGCTTAAACTATTTCATCAAAGTGAAAACATTTTTTACTCTTGATGAACTTAACTGTAGGAAGAACGTTTTCGTTTTCGGAAGTTTGAACTCATCGAACATACCAAATGACATCAAAGACACGAACATACTTAAAAGTAAAGTAAAAATGACTGCCAGTGAAATCAAAACAATAATAACATTTTTTCCACTAATAATTGGTATGTTGATCCCGAAAGATGATGCTGTTTGGTTATATTTTTGCAGTCTTTTGAAAATTTGCCATATTTTAATGTTACGTGAAATACATCCAACATTATTAGACACATTGAGAACGTTAGTTGATATTCATCACACGCAATATCAACAACTATTTGATGATACATTAAAACCTAAACATCACAATATCGTCCACTACGCATCTTTTGTACTACATTCGGGTACACCTCGCCATCAATGGGCAATGAGAGGAGAAGGTAAACACCGAGATGCCAAACAGTACAGCAGGGTAAATAACAACAAAACGAATCTATGTAAATCTTTGAGTATAAAGGCGGGGTATAAATTTGCACTCAACGTTTACAACAACGCTTTTATTACCCCACGAATAGATTTCAGCAAATCTAAAATCTTGCCGCCACCTCCTTCCAATAATGATTTTCAATTATTTGTGACAGAAAAAATACGTTTACTTGATATTTCAGTACAATTTTTAGACAGTTTCATGAAACAGGGATCGAAATTCAGCAAAGTAATTTTATATGTAAAACATTGTAATATTATCAATATGTTTGAGCTGGACTGTATAATGATAGACAAAAACAATAATCTAATATTAGTTTGCCGTAGCATGCAATGTCGTTATTTTGACGAACATTTGCAATCTTTTGAGATTTATAAATCACAGGATCCTACATTGGTTTCAAACATTGCCCGTTTCGAAACGCAAACTATTAATTTACATACCGTTAATGAAAGGTCATACTTCCGGTTTTGTAATTTTTGTATAATGGATAAACCTATTGAATTACCATTTGTACACTCGTTTGTTAATAAATAAAAAAATAAATCAAAAACAATTTTTCAATTTATTTAAAATTATTTCTTGAAAAGAAAAACTGCTAAAATTAAAAATTAAAATATTTAAGCCAAAAAAAAACAAATTGTTATTCGCAGCAATTTTTTTTTTAAATCAAAGAAAGTTATTGTTGGTAGCAACTTAAATTATTTTTTTTGATTAAAAAAAATTTTTGTCTGTTTGAAAATAAATATTGTAAATTCAACAAAATATATTTTTGATTGCGTTTTTGACAGCTTTTGAAAACAACAATATTTTATGTCCGAACAATAAAGATTTATTGTTGAATTCAATAAAAAAAAGTTATTAGCCGGGGAATGATAATTTTTGTTGTTGTTTTTAATACATAATATAATTGAAATTAAAAAATTTTTTCTGCGTGTGGCTAATATGTCACACTGCAGAATACAGTGTTGCCCACAATACAGTTGCTTAATCTTGCCATAAGATTATCAATCCCTTAAACAATTAATAACTATTTAATTTGTCGTTTGGCTGAAAAACGATTTTCTGCAAAGTTGTAGCGGATAAAAATTCCCATAAGAATAGCAATAGAATTTGTTAACAGTACAATATGTAAAAAGGCTAGAAGACAATGAACAAAAAGTTTTGTTTTCCTATAGTAATTTCCATATATACTTCAAATGGTTTGTTCCAAGTCAGTTTCTCATCAGTTTAAACTTTCGGAGGCTAATGAGGACCCGATTTGAAACCGTTTGAACACTGTGGAGCGAAAATTTCAAATTTTGCATCAGTCTACTGAGTATGTTCCCTTTTGAACCACAACTGAGTAAAATTTCCATGAGAGAAAAAAGAGAAGGCAATAAAATTCTACTCAGTGACTGAGTAGAATTGAAATAGAGGGTAACCCTTACTACACTCCTGCCCCTTCGATTATGACGGTTGGTTTTAACGGTTTCGATAATTTTGTTAACAACGTATCCTCACTTCCACTTTTTTTGACACCGACCACGGTGCCAAACACTTCCGTCGGTCATATTTGCATGTGACACCTACCTACATAACAGCCATTGACACCATTAATGGGAAGCGTGTTGCCGAAATGCTATCATTTATGCACAATTTCTCCATTCTCTAGAGGACTGGCCGTACACTGCATAGCGCATCCTACAGAGTTGTTGCTCCATATCTATATGGCACATGGACGTGCAATATGAGGTGGATGGAGTCTCTCTATATAAATCATTAATTGAAATATAATATTATCTCCACGGTAGTGGCATAATTGCTGCAATTAACCCATTCATCTTCACCCTTGGCAACATTTTGTGAACGCTTATGCTATTGATACGCTATATTGCAGCTGGACAGGGATAATTGAAGATATCAGTAATTATAAAATTAACAGCTCATAACGATATGAGGAAAATTGTCTTTATGTGAGATTTTGATGTGATCTATGAACATTTTTTTTTTGCATGATTCCTCTATTCGATCAGAAACTATAACTCATCCATTAACCTGTTACATTTTAACAATCCAGTCTGTTTCCACCATCCAAAAGCAATCATAACAAAACGAAAATTAACTCACTTGGAAAGTTATTTCCCAAACCCATAGTTTTTTTTTTTTTTCCTTTGTCTTTCCATCCTGATGCTTTGGGTCAGTTTTTTGCCGGTTCGTTGCCGACCATCGTAACGCAAAAAGTGGCCCAACGGACTAGCAAGTTGCAATCAAAGGGAAAATTCACACCATCCAACCACTCCAACCACGCCACGCTTTAGCTCCATGCAGAGCAGGACCACAATCAACTGAATGACTCGGGAAAAGCACGTCGGATGCCAAGAACAAAAAAGTAGGTAAATGCAGTAGATTTCAAGAAGTAAACCGGATGAATTTCATCACGGGGGCATAAAAAGAAGAAGAAGAAAAACTAGAAAGATGGGTGTTACAAGTAGCATAAGATGGGAATAGGAACAGGCAAAAAAACAAAAGGAACTTAATTGGTAAAGTTTTGCAATAAAACTGATCCGGACGCGTCGCGAGCACCACTTTTGAACTATGTGAGGTCAGAATCAATGCATGCAATAGTAAACTTAAATTCTGCGTTGAAGTTGTAGTCTATTTTAATTCCATATCTGAGTAAGTTATTATTACTAAAATAGGCTACAAAATCACGAATAGTGACCCTCGGAATAAGATCAGTAAAAACAATCTAGCCAACTTTTTGGCCGGTGGTAAATTCTTAAATGTTTAAGGTTTAAACCATAATTGAGCTCGGTCGGAACTTATTAAAATATGAGCTATATGTGTGGTGCAATGTGACGCGAGCTTGATTCTTATGAGAAATCATGGCTGTATATTTCCATGGAGGTCATTTTATGATAATGCCTTCGTTTCTTTCGTTTTCTTGTATTTGTTTCATTTTGTGTGGAAATCGTCGTTG